TTCATGACCTTGATGTATGGAACCTCTGATTATTGCTCTATTCCCAGCTATTTCGATTAAATTTGCCTTATTTATTGTCTGCTCTGTGGATGGGCCATTATTTACATTAATATTCATATCATTATCTTGTGTTACAATAATTTGACATATTTGTGAAATGTCAAAATTTGCAGCGTCAAAATTAACATCAATGTTTCGATATAATGGATTATTTTGGATTAACCACGCTAAAGCAGCTGATAAATTTTGCACGTTAATTTGTAATTGTCGGCATCTTTCAACATTCTCAAGTTGTTCACATACAATAATCATGCCTATTTTTGTAATTGGTAATGGTAATTGCTCCGATATTTCTTCTATATCTTGCGCAAATAAAATAGCTTGTCCTCGAAAGCCAGATTGACCAAATCGTCCACCTAACTTAATAATTTTTATAAATGGAACAATTCTTGACAAAAGTCTGTAACGGCACAGCCGTTACTAACGCCTCGCGGGCCGATCAGCCGCCCGCCACGTGAGGCTTTGGCGCCTAAAAGCGCCCCTAATCGTTCCACACGGGCCGCCCTACCCCGGGGGCGCCCCACCGCGACTCCGGCGCGGTACCCCCGCCACGGACTCGACGCGGAGTGGGGGACGGGTATATAAGCCGGCTCGGCGGACGAGCCGGCACCAGTGTTGTTAGACGGGCTAGGTTTTTTCGCGCATGCGCATTGAATGTAGTATTAATGAAGTAGTCACTCGCATGAAATGGGGTCCTGATTTCCCCCTCTGTTTAATTTTTCTTAAATTATTGAAAATTTTTTAAAATAATTAATGAATCGTATAATTTTTATTATAAATATAATAAATTTAATTAAAAATGTTAAATATAAACATACAATAAACAAATAATGAAATTATAAAATATATACATATACGTGTACCTATGTTATAACATACGTAAATTACGAGTTTAGTTTTTATTTATACAATTTATAATTTGAATTATTGATTAATTTTAATATACATAAATTATAATAATACACTTTTATATTACATATATTGTAATAATTTATTTATTTTTACGTACGTTCAATTTATCTGTTTCCTGCGATTCCGCCAAAACTCCGTGGTCCAGGGTTTTGGTCCGTAGTTGCGCGCGCAAACATCATACGTTACTGTAGTCGTCATGGTTACGTCACGGTAATACGCGCATGCGCGAAAAAACCTAGCCCGTCTAACAACACTGGCCGGCACCAGTCCCGTTCCAAATCTCCCAGACCAGGCAACGGGCTTCTCGTTATGAAAGTGCCGGATTTCTCGGTCGCTGGTTCCTACCGTTAGTATCGGCCAACGGGTTTCTCGTTGTAACACCGGGTTTCCCGGTTTCCGGTCTCCTTCTGTGATACGCCGGGCGACGGGCTTCTCGTCGTTATACTGGGTTTCCCAGTTTCCGGTCCATCCTGCTATCCGCCGGGCGACGGGTTTCTCGTCGTTACACTGGGTTTCCCGGTTTCCGGTTCATCCTGCTAACATCCGGGCGACGGGCTTCTCGTCGTTATACTGGGTTTCCCGGTTTCCGGACATCATTATAAGGCTATATGCCGCCGTACGTTGGCTCTACAGCTTCCCGTTTTGAATAAAGGCACTACGCCCCGTACCTTGTAGCTGCAACCGTCGTATACCGGGTAACCTGTAAGTCCCCTCTGGACACCGTTATAGGCTACACGCCTCCGCCTGCTGCATCTCCAGCATCACACACCGGGTAACTTGTGAGTTCCATCTGGACACCGCTATAGGCTATGCGCCTCCGCCCGCCGTATCTCCAGCATCGTATACCAAGAGACTTGTAAGTCCCTTCCGGACTCCGTTATAGGCTATACGCCTCCGAGCTTGTAAATATACCGGACGCTCCGTTCGATCCTCACGTTTTGTACATATACCGGGTAGTTCTTAAGTTCTTTGTTCAGGCTTTACGCCACCGGACGCTCCGTTCGATCCTCACGCTTTGTACATATACCGGGTAGCTCTTAAGTTCTTTGTTCAGGCTTTACGCCACCGGACGCTCCGTTCGATCCTCACGCTTTGTACATATACCGGGTAGCTCTTAAGTTCTTTGGTCAGGCTTCACGCCACCGGACGCTCCGTGCAATCACCGTTCACTTTGTATACCAGCGATCCGCTAAACCCATAGGGTGACCTGTACCCTTCTGTCAAACACTCTTTTCGTTGTTATTTTTATTTGAATAAACCAACTATTTTAATATTAAGGAATAAGCGAGTCTGAGTTTCCCCCTTCCTCCCGAATCCTGGAACCGGCGAGCCGATCCGCGGCGTCGGGAAAGGTGAACCGTTACAAGTCTTTGTTCCATATCACTTAAATTTCGCAAAACATCTGGAATTTCATCTAAAAACATAGCATTCCAATATGCTTGTGTTGGAACTTTGCCTTTTTTAATCAAATTAGCACAACGGAAACATGTTACAATTTCATTTAATTCGCGTAATTCGGTAGGAAAGATATCAATCGTTTTAGCAGATATTTTCATATTACATATCTGCTTTTTATAGCATAATTTTTTACAAACATCACAAGCAATATCCGCAAAAGACGATATAGTTAAATGAAATTGTTGTAACAACTTTTTTCTATGGGTATTAATATCAGATTGTGGAATTTCCTGAGGGATCGATAACACAGTAGCTTGTAATATTTGATTGTTGGGTAGAAGTACATTAGTAGCATCTTGTGAAATATTTTTTTCAGTATTTATTGTTGCAGAATATTCTATTGCTTGTTTAAGTGACAATTGTTGATTTGCTGCTTCAATTGTTTGTTCGTTGTTTGTTGTTGATAAATATGTTTTTTGCTTTTTATAGCGCAAATTTTTTGCCGCTGTGTTACTTTTTCGTCTGATATTTCTTCTCTTCTTTCTTCGTGTAACCTGAAATAGACATATATATATATATATATATATATATATATCTTTATATATTTATATAATATCTTTATATATTTATATAATATTATAATATATTTCTACATATAATATAACAATATATATGTTGTATAATTAAAAAAATAGTGTTATAATAATTATAAATATATAACATAATTGTAACCATATATATATAATATTATAATAATAATAATATATTATAATAATAATAATTAATAATAAAAAAAATTTCTTAATATATGTATGTTCTTGATGTTTCTTCTATTCCTCATTCCTGCTTGTGATTATAATCATATATTATGGCCATTGGTGATTCCTCTACTCTTTCTTCAGATAATAAGGCGCAACATTGCTGCCAACATGCACATTTAGAGTGCGGCGCAACTATGCTGCCCATATATGTACCGCAAGCTTCCTGCTACTCTTCTTTTTCCTGTTCTTATGCTGTTTCTTCATTCTTTTGTCTCTCTGCTTCTTCATCCTACACATGTAAAAGTTTTTATTATGTAATATATATATTACAATGTATATAATATAATAATAATAATAATAAAGACACACATACACTCACCATGTGACTGCAATGTTCTATATTCTTTCCAAATATTTTTCTGCTACAATTTTTTAAATTAATATAATATAATATAAATAGAGAGATAAATAAAAAAAATAGCTAGATAGATAGATTGATAGATAGAGAGAGACAGATGACAAAGACAGATAACAACAATATCTTATATCAAATACGTAAACTTGTACGCAGTTATAATTATGGCTTCGACAAATATATTAACTTTCTTATGGCTATATAAGTTTATACATTATGTAATCACAAGTAAGTTTATATATGTGATATAATAAAAGGCCAACTTAACGAGCTTATATGCTAATTAATTGAAAAATTTATTTATTAATTTACGTCATACTATACAAAAGTTAAGATAAACGTTTCGACTGTACGACAGTCTTTCTCAATATCCTAATAATATGTTAAAAAATTAATTTAGTCATTTCGACATCATAAATAAATACAACAATTATAAGATTATATGACGAACGCAGTACAAAATTCATGTTTGTTGGCATGAGTTAGAGCGTCAGATGCTGTTATATTATGTAACGACATTTTTTGTCAACGAACATAACACTTTTTTTAAAAAATTATTTCTTTTTACTTAACATAATCACAATGTGTACTTTTTTAAAAACAAATCGATATCTGTGTTCACATGATTAATAAGAAACTTATGTTCCAAAGTTGATATAAAACTATGCAGTAGTTATCGAGAATTAAGGTCACGACCGATCCGGGCTCGATGAAACGCATACTCCCTCTCTTTTCGCCAACCTACGGTTGGCAGCAGTCGGGAGGAAAAAAAATGAAAATTGAGTATTGCTATAAAATAAGAAAGTGAATATAAACTATAATATATAATTAATAAAATGTAAAGATTAATGTAATAAAAGTTTGTCATCTAATTATTGATATAAAATAAGGAAATGTATCAAAAATGTAATGTATATATTATTTATTATAACTTTTTTTTTACATTTTATTTATTATATTTTATTAGATTTTTTTACTTCTTCGTGGTTAAGTATATTAACTAAAAGTTTTTCTGTATTTTCAATTTTTGTATAAATTTCTAATTTTTAATTTTTGGTATAATATTTTATTTATTTGACGCCATTTTTTTAATATTATTATTTTTTCAGTAATTTAAAAATACTGTTTTTTGTTTAAAATTTCTTCACAAGATGCATATAGACTTGGCGCCTCTTTTTACCTTTTTTTTAAAAAGATATTTTTTATGAATAATACATATTGTTATTTTATACACAATTTGCGAGCCATATATAACATGTTAAAAAATATTAAAGAAATTAATAAATTGTTATTGTTACTTCGCATGTACTAATTCTAAATAATGCTAAATTATGCTTTAGACTTGTTTGATTGAAATTAACGCAAATATACATTCAATCGTATGCATTACTACAGAGTTCAGTGTGTAATATTCACCAATGTATTTTATTATCATATTATTGTTACATTGTTTTTTAATATTTCCCATTTATGATCTTTAAAACTCTTTCGTACAAAAGCTTTGGCGCATCATTAGCCAATACAAAGTCCATATGATTAAAATTAGGCCACGGCACTTCGTACATATCTATTACGTTGGGTAGTAAATTGTACAACCTCTTCACATCCTTGAAGAAACATTTTTTGAATTATTATGCGTGATAATTTCTTATAAAAACTATAACTTCGAATTTAAAAATACGAAATTTTATCTACATATTTACAAAGTCAAGTTGCAATCTCTACTATAAAATCTTATAATTTTTACACTTTTTATCAATAAATAAATACTTTTTTATCACTTACAATGGGTTGTACCAGCAAGTCGTTGTTGCCGTAGTATATTGCTATCGGTCGCGTGATACTCGATAGATTGTACTCTGGAGGTTCCATCGATTTATATATTAAGAGATTTTTTGTGGCACCGTGGTCATATTGACGAAATTTTCCCGATTTAATTATTTGAACGTAATGCACCACCGTCTTAAGCGAGGCGGCGACAGGTAAGTGGCTCACGATAATGGGCAGTTGAGTCTAAATAAAAAGTACAACAGAGTATATACTACATACATACACATATGCATATATATAAATATGTATATCTAATGTTCGATTTGAAGTATAAATCGCACGGTCTTGAAACATATTTCCATCGCGACATTTTACGGAAGATTAATTATAAAAAGAATTAATAAAAATCAGGCGCAGATATTATGCGCAACAAACTTGTCTGCACTCTCTTCTCCATTTGTATTATACAAAGAAATACATAGTTTAATTATTATATATCTGTTTTAATTTTATTTTTCTAGTTATTACATAAAATCATTAAACGAAATAAATAATCATAAATAATATTAAATAATAAATGTTTGAATCTACGATCTCTCTTTTTATTTTTTTCCCACAAATATTAAATTGTACATTTTGATAAATGTACATCATATAATCTTATTTTAAAATATAATTTTATCATATCTCACACAATAAATAAATAATTTCTTTATTCTTTTCTAGTTATCTTATAAAAAATATTTAAAAAAGAATCACCGAGTAAGTAAAGAAAAATAAAAATAAAATAGCTTTTTGTGTAAAATAAATAAATAGAGATGAATATTAGCCACTTTCACATCAGATTTTATATTTCTTTTATGTTAGAGCCTTTAAATTATAAATTACAGAAGGATTATTACTCACTAAATTAAACTGTTCGGGGTTGTTACCGAAGGGCATAAATATAAAATTATTGACGCACAACTCTGCTTGATAAAAATTCAGATTACAGCCGAGTAACGTCATTATTGCGTTAAAAGCATCTTTCGGGAATGTTTCGTCATGGAACAGAACCCGCAATAGTGGCTGCAATAAAAAATCTGTTTATTTCATGATGATAATTTACTCGTATAAATCTATATTTGTTCAAATATTTGATGGTTTTTTAAAGAATAAGAAAATAAAAATATATATTTTCAGCATGTATTATACAAATTAAGATAATTTATACAAGCGTTAAGTTATAACAAAATATTAAATATTTATAAAATTGATACACAATCGATACATTTTAACGATTGATATATTTTTAATCAGATCATATAATTATGTAAACTTTGAAATTTTAGTAAGTTTTAAGTAATTTTAAAGTAAGAGTTTTAACAAATTTTTTAACTGGAATTGATTAAAAAATTGTAGTTTTGTATTAACTTTTTGGCCAGCTGGAGTTGTTCAATCACCTAACATGAAATTTTTATTCGTGTTTCAATATTCATGCTAGAGAAATATTTACTTATATATATATATGTATAATTGTTATATTTAATAGAATATAATGGAAATAGTGTGTTTTTTATAGGTATAAATGACATAAAATCATGTTTTTGTTCTTTTTGGAAGAAAAATAGCGTTCTAAACAGTTATTTTACAAAATAAATTATTTTCTAATAGTATAATTGCACATATTATATTACCTGACTCTCTTTTATTAAATAAAGTATCGGTCGTAGTGGACTTCTCATATGATCCACAAAAACCCCTGGTCCGAAACTGATCATCATTTTCACCATTCCAGCAATATTTGGACGCTCTATTGACATTACGTAAAAAACTGCTGCGCCCATAGAATGACCAATGTATGCGTGCAAAGGTTGTGATGTCATATTCGTGATATATGTAGTCATCGCGGGTACATCATAGATGCCCATTTCGTGGAAACTGATAGAAAATACAATATATCATCATAATAAAATATTTAAATATATATATACGTACATATACATATATATATACATATATATATATACAGGGTAGGCCATTTTAATCTTTCCACTAAAATTTCTCAAAATCCAAAAATTTAAGACAAAAATGTTTCAGATAAAAGTTGTATGGTTTCAAGGGGGACATGAGATGGTGTCATTGATTTGACCTTGAATAGCCATTTGAAGGTTACGTAAAGGTCAACTTCAATTTCTTAAATGGAACACTATATTTTTTCTTGCATACTTTTGTAGCTGACTTCGAGATCTTTCCAAAACACTACAATAAAATATTTTTTCATGAAGTATTTTTCGAGTTATTAAGGCTGCAAATTTGCAGTATTTTGACATAAAATACAAAATATCTTGGGAAATATTCATTTTTCGGTTATCATACCTTAATACTTTTATGCACAGAATAATGAGATAAATCAGTTGATGTAAAGGAAACACATCAAGTAATAATCTCAGTGTCATATATATACATATATAAATTAAACGCTATTCTCATATTGCTTGTTAAAAAACTTGACACTTTTTTTGGTATAGTTTCCAAATGCATTGTTTTTGAAAGAATTAAAAAAAAATTTAAGTTTAATGTGTTTGCTGTTCCCTTGATTTTTTAAATAATATGTATAAATAATTATTTGTGTAAAAATTTTAATAATTTTTTACATTTGAATGTAATGTTTATTTAAATAATAAATATTAATGTTTACCTTGTTATTTCAAATTTGGAAAGCGTACTTTGCGGCATCAAAAAATTTGTTTTATATTAACTTAAATAAAATATCTTTGGAGAAGTCATTGTAACAATCCTTAACAGAGATTATTACTTGAAGTAGTTTGCAGATATTTTATTACATTATAATTTAAAAATTTGATCATGAAGAATTATTTACATAGAAAAGTAAAAAAACAAGAAAGCACTGTATTAGTATATAGAAAAATGAATATGAGATGCATTTGCGAAATAAGATAATTTTTAATATATATTCCGTTGCAATAATATCTAATAAATTTGCATTTACGAAAACTTCACCAAAGGAAAAACTATCTATTTTCAAGAAATTGTTTTTTATATTTTTTAAGTATACCTAAAATTCCAATATTTTAATTCTGATGTTGATAAAGAAATGTGATCTCTCGAATGAGTAGTACCACGCAAATTAGCCAACCAAACATCGTATCCCTGATCCGCTAATAGATAAGCTAGAACACAAAATGAAAACACATTTGCAATCTTTTATTTGTATTTTTTTCTCAGATGCTATATTTTTCCGTAGAAAAATTTTTATAACAAATTAAGACCGTAATCTGATTTTATAATTCATTTAATACAATTTTAATGAATTAATATATAAACAAGGTTAAGAAATAAAGAGTTACATGTAACGAAGTTACAGTTACAGTTACTTCTTTTCGGTAACTATAACTTAACTTCGTTACTTTTCTCCATCTGTAACTGTAACTGTAAATTAATTACATTTTTTTAGTAACTACCCAGTAAACACAGTATATAAATGTTATATACTTAAGCATGTTGCATGTAACGTATATGTTAGTTGTAATTTCCCACTCATAGATGTAACATTTTTAATATTACATATATTACATTGTAGTTATATTGTCATTATATCTTAAGATAGCACTGACTTATCAATACATCAATGTGCTATTTGGTATATAATTACAATATAACTACAATGTAATATATGTTATATTAAAATGTTACATCTATGAGTTGGAAATTACAACTAACATGGATGTTACATGTAACGTACACGTTATATTACCTGTTATATTCCGTTTTATTATATAGCAATGTAACAATTATATATCGGTGTTTGCTGGGTAGTAACTATTTTAACAATTACTTTATGCACAGATTAATAGACCGATCGCCAAAGGCCTGTCTAAAGAAAAGACCGTCATTTTTGCCGCTTACCGACACACTTTGCCCCTGGTTTGAGTCCAGGCTAATAAAATTCTTTAATTTTACCAAAAAATTTTGCTTCTAGTGCGAATTCAGGCTAAAATCCTTTGATTATACGTGATGAGTTCATACATTGATGGCAATCGCAAAGTTGCAAGCAAATCGATCAATTATTACATTCAAGAATTTTTCTAAATACTTGACTGTGATTGTGCATAAAATGTAAGCTTCTTATATTTAAAGTCATGTATAATATTATTTTTAAAAAGTAACTGAAAAGTAACGATTCGTTACTTTTTGAGTAACTGTAACTGTAACGAGTTATTTTTAAAAATCGGTAACTTGTAACTGTAACTAATTACTTTTTCAATGAAATAACTGTAACTGTAACTAGTTACTTTTACAAAGTAACTTTCCCAATCTTGTATATATAATATGTATATGTTTAATATATATACCTATCATGTAACAAATTTACTTTTAATTTTAAAATAATTTCAAAATTTAAGATGGATTAAAAATATACCTATCCTAATTAAATAGGTTTAAATAGGCAATGTTTACAATGTTTTTGTTTCTTGATGTTTTAATTCAATATTTTTTTCTTAGATATTTTTTGATTAAAAGTAAAATTAACGATGTGATATGATCGACATTGTTAGCAAATTTTTCGGTGATTGAATAAGAAGTCGTACCAAGTGCTTTGCCTTTGCCAAGAGTGATCCAAACATAGTCGTCGCTAAAAGCACCGTGTACTAGTAATACAGGTAGAGAGCCATTACCACCTGGAATACGATGTAACGTTAAAAGATAGCCATCTTCTGTTGTTACAACGTGAGTTTCCGTAGGATAACCCGTTTTTTTATTATCTCTGGCTGAAAGAAAAAACAATAAAATAAGAGCATAATATACATGTTCATAATAATGTAGCGTTTTGTAATAATCATTTAAATATAAAGGATTATATACAATATTATGTAATAAATATAAAGTATAATTGTATGATAATAATAATAGTGAATAATTATAAAATCTAAAATAAATTCAAATAAACATTAATAAGATCTGATTAAGTATATAAATATAATTTTTAAAATATATAGAAGATATAATAATTATGGTATTTTTGCAAGGCAAAGTAGTGTAAGACTTAATTAAAATTATTTTAGAAAAAAATTGTTTAAAGGTTTAGATACCGGGTGTCCCAATATACTCCCCAGCAAACACCGATATATAATTGTTACATTGCTATAATAAAACGGAATATAACAGGTAATATAACGTGTACGTTACATGTAACATCCATGTTAGTTGTAATTTCCCACTCATAGATGTAACATTTTAATATGACATATATTACATTGTTGTTATATTGTAATTATATACCAAATAGCACATTGATGTATTAATAAGTCAGTGCTATCTTGGGATATAATGACAATATAAATAACTACAATGTAATATATGTAATATTAAAAATGTTATATCTATGAATAGGAAATTACAACTAACATATACGTTACATGTAACATGCTAAAGTATATAACATTTATATACTGTGTTTGCTGGGTACGTTTAGAGTGTTCAATTCATCATGCGCAAAGTTCGAGGCTCCGGAATATCTTGAAAAATATAAGTTTTATAAAAAAAATGCTTCAGGTAGAAATTGTAGTTTGAAAACACTTCTTTACTGATTTTGTTTGGACTTTGAATGATATTGCCAACGACAGGTAAAATAATCTCGAATTTTTAAAATAGAACCACAGTATATTTTAATATATTTTTTAAATCGATTTCTCATAATATTCTGCATAAAAAATTAAAAGAATTAGAATGATCAAGAAGTGCATATAGTTAACAAGATATTTTATACTTCAATTCGATATCAACTTTATATACATTCTGAAATATCGAGTAAAACATTCATTTTCTGATGATCTAACATCAATAATTTTATGTATAACACGAGAGAAATTAACTGTTGTAAAACAGATAACGTACATAATTGTTTTTCAGATAAAATGGAGTTATTATTATATATAATTATATATATGTATCATTATGTTCATGTATAAACATATATCAATTTAATGATATATAATGAATTGTAAAACTGCTTCTTATGTTTTTATTTAAATTTGCATATCCCAGCGAGAAATTATAGATAAATTAACGTCGATTCGACGTCGAATCAATGTCGAATTGGTTGAATCAATTTCGATTTGACGTCGAATAATGAAAACTTCAATCCTCATTTCAGTAAGTTAAAAGTGTGTACTTACAGTGCTAAGAATTAAATCTGAATTGAGCTCGTCGTTCCTTCTAGATCGAATTATTCTTTCCACGGGTTTGTTTGGCAAGATGGTCGCCCCAGCAAGACAACCGTAAAACGACAATAAACACATAAATCCTATCAATTTTATTCCATCCATAATTAGCAATAATAAACAGTGAAAGAAAACGGACAACTCGAGTGTTTTCTGGAGTATTGGGATATGTATTATCGAAAAGGACAGAAAACAAGCGAGCGAAATGAATAAAGACTGAGTGGATTAACATCCTGTCCACTATTTAATAATGTTGCATCGATGACTTGTGATATTATAATAAAAGAATAAAATACATTACAGATTGATGGAAAGAGCAAAGGCGACGCACTACGTTATTGACCATGTCAGTGGATTCAATAGTTTGACGATGTCAGTAGATTTTTTCATTATTATCCCAGCAAACACCGATATATAATTGTTACGTTGCTATAATAAAACAGAATATAACAGGTAATATAACGTGTACGTTACATGTAACATCCATGTTAGTTGTAATTTTCCACTCATAGATGTAACATTTTTAATATTACATATATTACATTGTAGTTATATTGTCATTATATCCCAAGATAGCACTGACTTATCAATACATCAATGTGCTATTTGGTATATAATTACAATATAACTACAATGTAATATATGTTATATTAAAATGTTACATTTATGAGTGGGAAATTACAACTAACATGGATGTTACATGTAACGTACACGATATATTACCTGTTATATTCCGTTTTATTATAGCAATATAACAATTATATATATCTTAGGAGAAGATTTCAACGCAAGGACAGGTAGAAGGGAGGGAGTGATAGGAGGAGAGGAGGAAGAGGAAAGAAGATCGAAGGACAAAAAAGTTAATGAGGAGGGGAAGAAGTTGATAAAAGAGCTGGAAGAGGTGGAATGGGGAATTTTTAACGGAGGGATAAAAGGGGATAGGAAGGGAGAGTATGCATATACAGGAGGAAGAGGGGAATCGGTGATAGATTACGTGGTGGGAGAGGATAGAGTAAAGGAAAAGATAAAGAGAATGGAGGTAGGAGATAACATAGAATCTGACCATCACCCATTGATTGTAACGTTAGAAAGAAGGGGAGGTGCTGAAAAGGGAAAAAGGAGGGAGGGAAAAGGAATAAGAAAAAAGGGAAGATGGACGAAGAGAGGAGGAGAAAGAATAAGAGAGAAAATAGAATGGGGAAAGGAGTGGAAAGAGGGGATAGAAGAGGAGCTAGAGGAAAATATAGAAAGAATAGAAAAAGAGAGTGGAGAAGGGAAAAAGAAAGGGTGGTGGGATGGGGAGGAATGTGAGGAGAAGAGAAAAGAAGTAAGAAAAAAGTTAAGAGAATGGAGGAAAAAAGGAGGAGGAGGAGAAGGATACAGAAAAGTAAAGGCGGAATATAAGCTAATGTGTAAAGGAAAAAGGGAGAAGGAGAAAATAAGATGGTACAAGGAGGCGATAGAGGCAAGAACGGAAGAAGAGATATGGAAAATTATAAACAAGGAAAGGAAAAAGAGAGAAGGGGTGAATGAGGAGATAAAGGCGGGGGAGTGGAAGGAATACTTTATGGACTTACTGGAAGGGGTAGAGGTTAAAGTTGTAAGAGAAGGAAAAGAAAAAAGGGAGAGAGATGAGGAGCAGGAGATAAGCAGGGGAAAGTAAAGAGGATATTGGGAAAACTGAAGAAAGGAAAAGCAGCGGGGGAAGATGGGATACCGAGTGAGGTATGGAAATATGGAGGGGAGAAAGTAGAGAAGTGGGTATGAGAAATGTGCAACAGAGTTTGAAGAGGGGAAAGATGGCCGGCGAGGTGGAAAGAGAGGATAATAGTACCACTGTTAAAAAAGGAAACGGGAATAGGGTGGAAAATTACAGAGGGTGACGTTGATGCCAACGTTATATAAGGTATACGTGGGGATTCTAACAGAAAGGTTAAAGGAGGAAATAGAGAAGGGGAATATGTTACCGGAGAGTCAAACAGGTTTTAGGGAGGGAATGGGGGTGATAGATAGTATATATGAGCTAAACTACCTGGTTGATAAAAAAGTGAATAAGAAGGGAGGTAAGGTAGTAGCGGCCTTCATAGATCTGAAGGCGGCGTTTGACTCAGTGGATAGGAACGTGTTAATGGAGGCAATGAGAAATAGAGGGATAAGAGAAGGATTAAGAAGTAGGATAGAGGAGGTGTACAGAGAGACGAGGAGCAAGGTAAGAGTGGGGAAGGAGGAGGGAGAAAACTTTTGGACGGCAAAGGGTGTGAGGCAAGGTTGCCCAATGAGCCCACACTTGTTTAATTTATTGATAGCAGATATAGAGGAAGTGCTGAGAAAAGGAGGTTGGGGAGGGGTGAAGCTGGGAGGGAAATGTGCACTGCTTGGCATATGCAGATGACATGGTACTGTTGGCGGAGGATGAGGAAGGGATGATACATATGTTGGGGAAAATGGAAAATTACATGGACAAGAAAAGGTTAGAGGTAAATGTGGATAAGACAAAAGTAATGAGGTTTAGAAATGGAGGAGGAAGAATGAAGAAAATGGAGTGGAGGTGGAAAGGGAAAAAATTAGAGGAAATGAAAGAATTCAAGTATTTAGGATATAAGTTACAAAGGACAGGAGGCACAAGTAAAGGACCGAGTGAGGAAAGCAGAAGCGGTGATAAGACAGGTGTGGGAAATGGGGAAAAGAAGATTTGCAGGAGACTGGATGAAAAAAGTATGGTTAATGGAAAGGTTGGTGGGAACGGTGTTGGAATATGGGGGGGAAATATGGGGGTGGAAGGAGAGGAGAGAAGTAGAGGCAATGCAGGAAAGATGGATTAGGTGGACGTTAGGAGTGGATTGGTGTACGCCGGGGTATATGGTAAGAGAAGAGATAGGAAAGGATAAATTTAGGATAAGGGCAGGAAGAAGAGCGGTAGGGTATGAGAAAAAATTAGAGGAAGGAATGGGAGGAAGTTTAGCGAGGAAATGCTATGAGGATATGAAAGAGAGGGTAAGAGAAAGAAGGGAGAGAACGGTTTGGGAGAAAGAGAGAGCAACATTTTTGAAGAAATGGAAATAGAAAGGAAGGAGATGGAGAAAAAAAAAGAGAGGGGAGAGGAAATATACGAGGGATGGGAGCAGAAAGACAGAGAAATGCAAAAGGAGGAAAGATGGGAGAAGAGAGTCGAGATATAATAGATGGTATGGAGAATGGACGGAGGAGGATTTACCGGAATATTTGAGAAAGGGATGGGGGAAAAGTAGATGGAGAAGGATAGTGAGGTTTAAAATGAACAATGAAATGAAAGGGGCGAGCAACTTTCTGGTATATATTTATTAAATAATATTTATATAATATTATACATATAGTTTATATGTAATATTTAACTTGTTATAAATTATGTATTTTTTACGCATATAAATTTATTCTATTTATATGCATATTTGGATAAATTAAATAAAAAAAAAAAAATTGGAGAGAAATATTTTTTATAAATATCTATTATAAAATACCTATTATAAAAAGTCATATTAAAAAAATAATCTATAAGATATATAAAAGTATTCAATCGTAAGATGTAAGACACATCTCACGAAAGATGCAAATATATACCTAAAATAAGATTAAAAGAAACAATCTTGAAAGATAAATGATAAATTTGTGTTAATATTTAAGATAGATAGGATTGTTAACGAAAAAACATATAGTTACAAATAACTAAAAAATTGCGTTATATCTTTGAAAGCAGTTTAAAATTTACCTTAGAGGATACGATTTAGTATACTTTTGCCTATTTAATATTACTCTTAATTAATTAATATTAATATTATTTTATTGCAGTAAGTGTATTTTATTGAAATTAACACATATATGACATCAATTCTCAGATAGCACCATGTCCAAAATTGGTGCATAACACATCTTTAAGATGCTTTTAAGATATCTTTAGGATATCATATCATATGATTTCTTAAAGATGTCTTAATAAAGATTTCGTAATAATATCTTATGTACCAATTTTAGACATGGTGCTATCTGAGTTCTATTCAATACTAGAGTTTAGTGTGCAATATTTAAATCATCTATGTATTTAATTACCATATCGTGGTTACAAAATGCTTGAATACTTCTCTTTCATGATCTTCAAAACTCTTTCGTACAAAAACTTTGGCGCATCTTTAGCCCACATAAAGCCCATGTGATTAAAACTGGGCCGCGGCACTTCGTACATATCTATTACGTTGGGTAGTAAATTGTATAACCTCTTCACATCCTTGAAGAAACGTTTTCTGAATTATTATGCGCAAAAATTTCTTGTATTTCCGATTACAAAGATACGAAATTTTATCTACATATATACAAAGTTAAGTCACAATCTCTACTATAAAAACTTCTACACTATTTATTAATAAATAAATATTTTTTCATTACTTACAATGGGATCTGCCAACAAGTCGTCGTTGCTGTAGTATATCGCCATCGGTAGCGTGATACTCGATAGATTGTACTCTGGAGGTTCCACCGATTTATATATCAAGAGATTTTTCGTTGGACCGTAGTCATATTGACGCATCTTACCCGATTGGATTACTTGAACATAGTGCACTACAGACTTAAGTGAGATGGCGGCGGGTAAGTGGCTCACGATAAATGGCAGATGAGTCTAAATAAAGAGTACAAATATGTACTACATATATACACATATACATACATACATACGTATATATATGTACATGTATATACAAAGTACAAAGTCCGATCTGAAATGTAATCGCACGATCCTGAAACGTATAAGGATCATACTTCGATCGCGACATTTTACAGAAGATTAGAAAAGGAATAATAAAAATAAGGCGCATATATTATGCGCGACAAACTTGTCTGTACATTTTTTCCATTGTAACGGCGTAGCCGTTACTAACGCCTCGCGGGCCGATCACCCGCCCGCCACTTGAGGCTATGGCGCCTAAGGCGCCCCTAAGCGCAAAATCATAACTGATACACGGGTCACCCTACCCCAGGGGCGCCCCACTACAACCCCCCAGAGGCGCCCCACTACGACGCCGGCGTTACCCCCACCACAGCCTCGAGGTAGAGTGGGGGAACCGCCGGCAGGGTAT